ATTAAAAAGATCGTAAGTTCGGATTCTCAAAAGATCGTAAGTATCTACTTTTCAGGAAAGTAGATTATCTACTTTTCGGGAAAGTAGATTATCAAATTTTCCGAATATTTTCGGGAAATTTCCTCAAAATATTCGAAAAATTTCCCAAAAATCAGATAATCTACAGTACTTTCCCGGAAAGTAGATATTTCCCATTTTCTATGATAAAAATTTCCCGTTTTCTATGGTAAGTAGATAACTAACTTACCCAGAAAGTAGAAATATTTCACATTTTCTGTGATACAAATTTCCCGTGTTCTTCAATAATCTACTTTGGAAAATATGTTAATATCTCCCAAAAAGTCGATAATCTACTTCCACGAAAAATCGAAAATCTACTTTCCAGAAAAGTAGATTATCTACTTTTCGGGAAAGTAGATAACCAACTTTCGCGGAAAGTAGATATTTCCCATTTTCTATGATACAAATTTCCCGTTTTCTATGATAAGTAGATAACCAACTTTCCCAGAAAGTAGAAATATTTCCCATTTTCTGTGATACAAATTACCCGTTTTCTATGATAATCTACTTTGGAAAAATGTTAATATCTCCCAAAAAGTCGATAATCTACTTCCACGAAAAGTCGAAAATCTACTTTCCGGAAAGGTAGATAATCTACTTTTCGTGAAAGTAGATAACCAACTTTCGCGGAAAGTAGATATTTCCCATTTTCTATGATACAAATTTCCCGTTTTCTATGATAAGTAGATAACCAACTTTCCCAGAAAGTAGAAATATTTCACATTTTCTGTGAGACAAATTTCCCGTTTTCTATGATAATCTACTTTGGAAAATATGTTAATATCTCCCAAAAAGTCGATAATCTACTTCCACGAAAAGTCGAAAATCTACTTTCCCGAAAAGTAGATAATCTACTTTTCGGGAAAGTAGATAACCAACTTTCCCGGAAAGTAGATATTTCACATTTTCTATGATACAAATTTCCCGTTTTCTATGATAAGTAGATAACCAACTTTCCCAGAAAGTAGAAATAGTTTCACATTTTCTGTGAGACAAATTTCCCGTTTTCTATGATAATCTACTTTGGAAAATATGTTAATATCTCCCAAAAAGTCGATAATCTACTTCCACGAAAAGTCGAAAATCTACTTTCCCGAAAAGTAGATAATCTACTTTTCAGGAAAGTAGATAACCAACTTTCCCGGAAAGTAGATATTTCCCATTTTCTATGATACAAATTTCCCGTTTTCTATGATAAGTAGATAACCAACTTTCCCAGAAAGTAGAAATATTTCACATTTTCTGTGATACAAATTTCCCGTTTTCTATGATAATCTACTTTGGAAAATATGTTAATATCTCCCAAAAAGTCGATAATCTACTTCCACGAAAAGTCGAAAATCTACTTTCCCGAAAAGTAGATAATCTACTTTTCGGGAAAGTAGATAACCAACTTTCCCGGAAAGTAGATATTTCCCATTTTCTATGATACAAATTTCCCGTTTTCTATGATAAGTAGATAACCAACTTTCCCAGAAAGTAGAAATATTTCACATTTTCTGTGATACAAATTTCCCGTTTTCTATGATAATCTACTTTGGAAAATATGTTAATATCTCCCAAAAAGTCGATAATCTACTTCCACGAAAAGTCGAAAATCTACTTTCCCGAAAAGTAGATAATCTACTTTTCAGGAAAGTAGATAACCAACTTTCCCGGAAAGTAGATATTTCCCATTTTCTATGATACAAATTTCCCGTTTTCTATGATAAGTAGATAACCAACTTTCCCAGAAAGTAGAAATAGTTTCACATTTTCTGTGATACAAATTTCCCGTTTTCTATGATAATCTACTTTGGAAAATATGTTAATATCTCCCAAAAAGTCGATAATCTACTTCCACGAAAAGTCGAAAATCTACTTTCCCGAAAAGTAGATAATCTACTTTTCAGGAAAGTAGATAACCAACTTTCCCGGAAAGTAGATATTTCCCATTTTCTATGATACAAATTTCCCGTTTTCTATGATAAGTAGATAACCAACTTTCCCAGAAAGTAGAAATATTTCACATTTTCAGTGATACAAATTTCCCGTTTTCTATGATAATCTACTTTGGAAAATATGTTAATATCTCCCAAAAAGTCGATAATCTACTTCCACGAAAAGTCGAAAATCTACTTTCCCGAAAAGTAGATAATCTACTTTTCAGGAAAGTAGATAATCAACTTTCCCGGAAAGTAGATATTTCCCATTTTCTAGGATACAAATTTCCCGTTTTCTATGATAAGTAGATAACCAACTTTCCCAGAAAGTAGAAATATTTCACACATTTTCTGTGAGGCAATTTCCCATTTTCTATGATAATCAACTTTGGAAAATATGTTATCTCCCCAAAGTCGATAATCTACTTCACGAAAAGAGTCAATCTACTTTCCTG